GAGCATCTGGCACCAGCAAGAATTATACGTGGAAGGGTCCTACTATCAAAAGTGATGTTCACAACTGGAAGAGGCTGATGACGACCACGAGGGGGTCGAGTGAAAGAGTCCACTTGGAGGACAGAATGACCTTGGGCTTCGAGGATTATGTTTAATATCTTCGTGGCAGTCTTTTACGTCCCTAACATCAGTTGCAACATGGTGCGGGAGGAGAACAGTGCCAACACTGGCATTTTACCGAGTATTTTTGGAGACCAGTGTTGTTGTTATGCCTTACTCTTTCCCTTATGTTTACCAATTGTTTTCACCTGACCCCATTGTTCGAGCCATTTGTATTCACCTGACCCAATATTAGTATAAATATTATGTCCTGTACTGTAACATCACTTGAGAATGAACCATATAGGTTCGAAACGTTGTGCAATTTTATAATAAGTGTAATACATTTTATAGTTATTCACTTCTTTTTCTTCACCTTGAAAGCGAACATGACTTTTGGTGAACTGCTCTTCCAACTAAACCCTGATGCAAGAGAGCACTAGTAAGAGGGATAGAAGCCCTAAACTAGAAAATAGTTAACACGGAATATGCTGTCATATTCAATGAGACTACACACACATTATATATATATATATATATATATATATATATATATATATATATATATATATATATATATATATATATATATATATATATATATATATATATATATATATATATAGCAACTTTCTATGGTGATTTGTGATTGTGTGGGGGAGGTGTCATAGGAGGTACGAGATCAACCCCCCATGTCCCGCTTTAAGTAAGATTAGTTTTTACTGCGACAACCAATGACTCATGTTCAGTCTGAAATGAGGGGTTTGGTTGTCCACAGAGTTTTTTTTCAACCCCACACTCATCATAATCACAACATTCAATAATAGGAGCTGCCTCGCATGGGCCAATAGGACCTCTGCAGTTCGTTTTCCTATTATCCCCTCTACTACACCTTTGCTCCTCACCCCTCTTTTGCCTATTTATTGCCTCTCTCTACTTCCTCATCACAATCGACTTGAGAATGGTCCAGGACGGACCGAAACGTCGTCGTCCCTTCACCTTCTAGTGTGTGTGGTCTGGTCAACTTACTTTAGCCACGTTATTGTGACTCATCGCCTACACAACATTCTTTTAACTTTGCATCAAAGTATCCATATTAAATAATAATGTTGTGTGTGCTGGGCACATATATTACATAATCTCAGAGCTGCCTATCCTCTTGACTGTCCACAATTGACAAAAGAACGGAATCCTCCACTGTTCTTGTATCCTATGTATGTACTTTTGTCTAAATAACTATTATTATTATTATTATTAATATAATAATATAAGTCACCGATTTAATCTAACAGATCCACGCATTGAAAACCTTGGTTGTTGGTGAGTAGCTATGATTCATAACTATATATATCTATAATATATATAGCTATGAATCTCTCCCTATATTTTGCCCGTTGGTGATTTTAGCGTCAAAATACGAGTATTTTTTTGAGAGGACAGGTTGATGAGAGAGACTGACAACGAATAAGACGGATAGAGAGAGAAGGTGGAAGGAGATGGGAAAGGGGGAGAAAGATGGAGAGTGGGAATACAGGGAGAGGAGAGGAAATGGGGAAGACGAGGACAAGAAAGGAGAGCGGGGATATAAGAAGAGAAAGATAACAGAGTGGGAGAGGGGAAGATGGAGCGAGACCCGGGCACCGCTGGGTACCCGATCTAGTGTATTTACATATCTGTACCTTTATATTTGAACTTGTATATATCAACCCATTCCCCTGTTTAGATAGCTGTTGTAACTATATTCACCATAGTATAAAGATTACCGTTCCAAGCAACTAGAGTAGAACTTGGCACTATTCATTTTATAAAGCCGGATGAAAATGAAGCTAAAAAACAAACTTAAATATTCCTAGACCTTGTATAGCACACATATGTACTATATTAGGCCTCAGATAGTAGTGAGTGTTATGACTAGAAGAGTCCCTCCATTTCTGAGATAGATGACAGATGAATGACTGACGGGTGAGGTAGATTTATCGCGCGATCCAGGGGGGGGAGGGGGTGATTTCCGGTACCCTTCCCACTCTCGATTTGGGATTTTAGGGGTAACTAATTACCCCCTAAATAGGGGTTTAGGGCCCTGTTGTTTGTGCACAAACAACAGGGCCCTAAAGTAGAGAGGGGACAGAGGAAACATGATCACTGTATATATCATACTGAGGGTAATAGACAAGATGGACTAGGACAGCCTCTCTAAAGTGTGACAAAACTGGGCAATCGGGCATAGGTGTAAACTGGAAATACAAATGAATTTAAGAAATGTAAGGAAATACTCGTACTCAATACGGATGTTCAACAAGTACTCACCTAGTTACGCTTGCGGGGGTTGAGGTCCAGCTCTCTGGTCCCGCCTCTCAACTGTCAATCAACTGGTGAATGAAATGGAATGCTCTTTAAGTAAAGGTACTGAAAACCACCTCCATCTACAACTTTATTAGATATACAGCAAATAATTTGAACGTCTCTTGGTTATCTTGAAATGATTTCGGGGATTTTAGTTGTCCCCGCGGCCCGGTCCTCGACCAGGCCTCCACCCCCAGGAAGCAGCCCGTGACAGCTGACTAACACCCAGGTACCTATTTTACTGCTAGGTAACAGGAGCATAGGGTGAAAGAAACTCTGCCCATTGTTTCTCGCCGGCGCCTGGGATCGAACCCAGGACCACAGGATCACAAGTCCCGCGTGCTGTCCGCTCGGCCGACCGGCTCCCGTCGTTTAAAGCTTAAAAAATGCAGGTCAACAAGGCTAGTGGGAGTGGTATAAAATGTTTATACCACACTTCCCAGTTGTCACTATTAGGTAAACATTGTTATATAAGCACACACATACCTCTTCACCCCACAGCACCGCTCCTGTGCCAGGTAAGTCCACTACGGGCTCACCATACAGGTGCTACTTGGAACTTGTTCCGAGTAGCTGAATCTATAACAACAACAACTCTTCACCCATTAAATTTAAATTTTGCCCCAAGGGGCGAGTTTATTGGGCAGCGCCACTCATCTTGTGAGTGAACATACCGCCATAGCAGAATGTACAACACTCCCCAATAGGAAGAAAACCCGCTGGGTTGTTCATCCTGTCACTTGTACCCAGACACAGCTGGGACTTGCTTAACTGTCTCAAGTGAACAGCTCCTCAAACAAGAAGATTAACATTTATCAACCCTTAAAAGTTTACGTTATCTTGCGGGTGCAAAATGGGGAAATCTTTTAAGAACAGTATCAATATTTGTCAAATAGTGTTTTCCTAACTCAAACAATGTGGGGTTTATTATTCTACAGTTATTCCTAATGTCTCTCAGGTGTTCACATTCACGTAGATAGTGGTCAAGGCGGTGTCCATCACTCTCACCACAGATTCTGCAACTTCGCTGATCAACTGTTGTTTCTCTTCACCCATACCATTTTACAGGCTCACTATAGCTCGTGCTACATGAACATTTCGTTCTGAGTAGCTAAATCTAAAACAACAAACATTCACCCATATATCACGGGCTATTCATGCCCGTGCCACCTCTTGCGTGGCTTAATCTTCGTTAATCACCTATACACCTTCCACACGCGTAAACTCTCCCCACCAACATACCCAAAGACCTTTAACAGGGGGGTGAGCAAACCTGTTCGCACTTTCTTAAAGTCAATATTGACTTAAATAAATGCGTGTGACATACTAATTTATTGTGAATATTTTAGTTTACCTTGAAAAGCTTCATAGAAAACACCAACCTTACCTAACCTTCTTACTATGTTAAGATAAGCATCTTATTTTTCGTAATTACAATTATTACTTAACCTATACCTATAATAGGTTACGTAATAATTGTAATTACGAAGCAATAAGATGTTTAACATACTAAGAAGGTTAGGTAAGGTCGGTGTTTTCTATGAAGCTTTTCAAGGTAAACTAAAATATTCACAATTTATTAGTATGTCACATATGCACGTATTTAATAAGTCAATATTGACTATACGAAAGTGCGAGAACGGGTTGCTCACCCACAGACCCTCCCCGCTCTCCATACCCACACGCACACCTTCCCAACCCATAAACTCCCCCCCCCCCCCCCCCTCCTCTCCCCATACACATTTAAAGACCCACATCAGGAACCCCTCAAAACACCCCCCACACCGTCCCACCCACGCACCCTGCCCACTCAAACACTCCCCACACCCACACATGCTCCCCACCGACACACCACTTGTCTCCTTTTTCACAGTTCCTAGAAATATAAACGTTGCCCTATAATGTTATATATCTTTGGGAGAAGACGAATGAAAACTGAGTGTTGGAGTGTGTGTGTGTGTGTGTGCTGACGAGAGAGGGGTTAACGAGCCGTTGAAACCGCACCTAATCTCTCCACTCCTGGGTGGAGAGAGCACCGCTCTATACACACCTATTGTCTTATGTATGACCCTCTGTCCTGCGTGACAGTGGATACTAGCATTATCCTCAATTTAATAAGACTATCAAAATCCTCAGATTAGGCAAAATTGTAATTAATTTTGTCAATAAAGATGTTAATAATAATAATCTATACACACCGGGTCTAAAGTAAGCTGACTTAACCTCCTTCGGATAGTCATTTTCTCCCTTAGTTTATATAACCCCACACAACCCTCCACAACCACGCTACCCCAGACAGTCCCCCCCTCACCCCCTACTTCACCAACCATCACACCAAACCTGCATCATCACGCTAGTCCAAACAGTCCCCCCTCCAACCCCCACAACCCTCCACCAGCACGCTAGAGCAGGCAGCGCTCCCCCATCACCAACCCCCACACCACCACCACCATAACCTCTCGCCAAGCCGTCTGTGCCATGCCCCCCGGGTGCTTCAGCTACAAGGCAACTGAAGGTGCACAGGTTCGCGCTCTGCCAGAATCATTCCGGGAGTCGCTCTCCTGCCAGACAGTTGAATTGTTAATTCTCTCGCCTTGTGGCCCTGTGACGTGTCAGGAGACGGAGTAACATTTGTGCTCTCGCGGCTCCTCATATACGAGAGGACATTTGGCTTCACTGTGTTGTTACATTTCTTGGATCACTATATATTCTTCAAGAGTTAAAGTTACCAAGGTATGTTATTGTGTTTAAAATGTTATTTATTAAGCGCTCGCATTGTCACACACACACACACACACACACACGGTTCTCACACAGGTGAGAAGGTGGTGGAGGCAAAGACCGTCAGTAGTTTCAAAGCGTTATATGACAAAGAGTGCTGGGAAGATGGGACACCACGAGCGTAGGCCTCATCCTGTAACACACACACACACACACACACACACACACACAAACACACACACACACACACACACACACACACACACACACACACACACACACACACACACACACACACAAACACACTTAAACAGTTTGTGCCAAAAGGTCTGAACTTCACCAGCCGAAAAAGGTGCCAGAGAATACAAGCCTAGATATGCTTATGTGACTGAAGATCCACATATGCCTTGAAGCCCCCTACGTGGGATCATCAGCCAGGAACCCTCGTGCTGGCTGGCTAAGCGACTCGCCCCTGTTCATTCCATGTGCTTCGCCATTGCTCATTCCATGCGCACCATGAGCGTTCAAGTCCCCAAAATAATTTCTTGACTTATTGCGAAGTTCACATAATAGTAGTACTAACTACCTGGACTGGTACAAGCCTCGTGTTCGTGCGTGTGTCAACAGTGTTTTCACACAGCTCTAGCCGAAAGCAGGTCGATTAGGAACTCAGGAGAATGAGGACAAATCTGTATTGACAATGGATACGCTAACGGATACCTGGACTTATCACTAAAATAACCGTGAACCGGCATGCAGCAACTGATGAGGTTGAGACTACACATCCCGACCAACCGGTACATTACGCGAACTACTTTAAATGGTTCCAAAGAGGACGGGAGACATCTCCCGTCACGCAGGGTGCAGTCGCACCTCCATAGATCTCCAGTATCAGCTCTTGATACTGGTAATGGCTCAAAAGGGCCACCACTTACGGGCTATTCATGCCCGTGCCACCTTTTAGGTGGCTTAATCTTTATCAATCAATCGGTTCCAAAGATGGAGACAAATAGTCTAGAAAAATCACAATCTATAAAACATAACCGTCTACAAGCACTAAACAGAAGAGGCAACTCACAATTTACTACAAGAGTAAGAACGCCATCGTGCTCACGAAGAACCCTATAGCCAGATTCACGAAGCAGTTACGCAAGCAGTTACGAACCTGTACATCTTTTCTCAATCTTTGGCGGCTTTGTTTACAATTATTAAACAGTTAATGAGCTCCGAAGCACCAGGAGGCTGTTTATAACAATAACAACAGTTGATTGGCAAGTTTTCATGCTTGTAAACTGCTTAATAAATGTAACCAAAGCCGTCAAAGATTGAGGAAAGATGTATACGTTCTTAAGTGTTTGCGTAACTGCTTCGTGAATCTGGCTCCTTGACACCACACGGAACTCCTTGAAAAAGCTGAGTGTCGCCTATACGGTTACAAGCCCACTTGGAGACTATACGACCCCAATTACCTCAATATGCAGTTATGGCGGCACCTTTTCAAAGACATCTGGAAATGCATAAACATGACCATCAATAGGGAGGGAGGGAGGGAATTATTAAGGGAAAGCGCCAAGCCATTACGACTATATAGCACCGTCAATAGAAAATTTGAATTGAACCATCAGGGGAAAGCGCCAAGTCATTATGACTATATATAGCACTTGGAAGGGATCAGGATAAGGATTTGGGATGGGACCGGGGGTCCACCGTCCACCCCAAGGCTTTTTCCCACATAAAATGGGGGGAAAAAACTAAGACTTAAAACAAAACGAGAACAAAAACAATAATGAATTGAGGTAGTTCAATATATCAATAGAGAGAGCCTGGCTATTTTATGTTATTTATTATAAAACTTATGGTTTTAAAAGTCGGGGACATGAAACCTGTCAGGTTCATCAAGGCACCTTCTACGGCCACCTACTGACCTCTCACAGGATGCGTACCACAACAGATGCTTAACTCCCAGGTACATATTTACTAGGTGAACAGACGCATCAGATGAAACATTTCCCAAATGCATCTGCCCTGAATGCTGAATGTGTGTGTGTGTGTGTGTGTGTGTGTGTGTGTGTGTGTGTGTGTGTGTGTGTGTGTGTGTGTGTGTGTGTGTGTGTGTGTGTGTGTGTGTGTGTGTGTGTGTGTGAAATTTCGTTAACTTGGACTATCGGAGCCTCGAACTTTGGACCACAAAACTGGAGACTCCGCAGTTCTACCAATCATACTCCAAGAATCTCAAAATAAAGCTGGGATACCAGAGACATTGGTATACTTAATTGGTATCCAAACGGGAATGTAAGACTTCATCTGCAAATTTGATGATGTGGTTTGTAATATTCTTATCTATATCATTGATGTTTATGCCATAAAAAGGATTGGCTCCAAAATGGACCCTTGCAGTACCCAGCTCGCCACATTTCTCCTGTAAGATTCCTTCCCATTTAGCACTACCCTCTGCTTTCTTTGATATATTGTGTTATTCATTCTAGTTTATTCACATTTATTCCACGTGACTGTAATTTCCTTGCTAGTCTTTCATGTGGTACCTTATCAAAAGTTTAAATAAAGTACGTGTATACGACATCTACTAGAAGTCCTTTGTCTGGATAGATGGTTACAGTTTGCAAAAATGTGAGCAGTCAGTGAGCAGGAGACAATCTTGTCTTGCAAGACAAGATTAATTTTTATTTTAAACCCATGTCGTGTTGATTTTTCTAGATTGTTCACTGTGACATAACGAATGGTTCCCTCCCTGAGGATTCTCCTCCATGACTTTGCAGATGTTTGAGATGAAGCTGATCGGACGAAAATTTTCTGCCGAGATCTTTCTGACTTTTTTGAAAATATGGGTGACATTTGGATATTTCCCAACTAGGGGGGAACTATCCCTTGGTCCAGAGATTTTATGAAAAGGAGTTTCAGTGGTAGGCATCGTTCATCTGCTAGTTCCTTCTCGACTTTGGATTGCATTCCGTCCACACTTGGGGCTTTCGAATGCTTTAGTTTTTTCAGCGCTCTTCCTCTGTATGTAGCACGTTTGTCAGCGCTCTTCCTCTGTATGTAGCACGTTTGTCAGCGCTCTTCCTCTGTATGTAGCACGTTTGTCAGCGCTCTTCCTCTGTATGTAGCACGTTTGTCAGCGCTCTTCCTCTGTATGTAGCACGTTTGTCAGCGCTCTTCCTCTGTATGTAGCACGTTTGTCAGCGCTCTTCCTCTGCATGTAGCACGTTTGTCAGCGCTCTTCCTCTGCATGTAGCACGTTTTTTTAATATCCCACAATTCGTTCTCTTCACCTGCTTCAAACATTTGTGTGGGTAATGGGATGTCGTCTAAGCTCACTAGTGTAAACACTGACGTAAAGTGTTAAATTCATTCGGTGTTTGATGCTCTTTTATCGTCTATTATAACTGGTTGGTCTCAGCTTACCGAGTCTTTTGTTTTAGTTTGACTTCTTGTATAGCCATATTATATAATATATTGTATCGAGGGACAGGCAGCCAGGTTATACATACAGTACTTGTTAGGCTAATATCAAGGCCTCCCCCTCTCCCAATAGGGTCGAATTACTGACCCTCCCTAGGATGCAACCCCCTCACAAGCTGACTAATTCCTGGGTACCTGTTTACTGCTAGGTGGACAGGAGCATGAAGTGATAAGAAACGTGCACAACCATTTTTTTCCCGACCGGGATTCGAACCCGGAATTCTCGATTGTGAGTCGAGAACTAATCCGACTGTATTACAAGAACCCCTCAAACACTGAATAATATATATATGACTTCCTGTTGTCCAGAAATATAGGGAAAGCGGAATTATTATGCTCAGCATTAGTTTAACTATTCATTAAAACCATTAAATGTATATATATATAATATAAGAGAGAGAGAGAGAGAGAGAGAGAGAGAGAGAGAGAGAGAGAGAGAGAGAGAGAGAGAGAGAGAGAGAGAGAGAGAGAGAGAGAGAGAGAGAGAGAGAGAGAGAGAGAGAGAGAGAAGAGAGAGAGAGAGAGAGAGAGAGAGAGAGAGAGAGAGAGAGAGAGAGAGAGAGAGAGAGAGAGAGAGAGAGAGAGAGAGAGAGAGAGAGAGAGAGAGAGAGAGAGAGAGAGAGAGAGAGAGAGAGAGAGAGAGAGAGAGAGAGAGAGAGAGAGAGAGAGAGAGAGAGAGAGAGAGAGAGAGAGAGAGAGAGAGAGAGAGAGAGAGAAGAGAGGAGAGAGAGAGAGAGAGAGAGAGAGAGAGAGAGAGAGAGAGAGAGAGAGAGAGAGAGAGAGAGAGAGAGAGAGAGGAGAGAGAGAGAGAGAGAGAGAGAGAGGAGAGAGAGAAGAGAGAGAGAGAGAGAGAGAGAGAGAGAGAGAGAGAGAGAGAGAGAGAGAGAGAGAGAGAGAGAGAGAGAGAGAGAGAGAGAGAGAGAATTACAAATCGTACACCTCGGCACCAGCAAAAGGTCTCGCAGGAACACAAAGATAATAATGCACCAGAAACTTATTAATTACATAAATAATCTCCCAGTAGCCACTGAGTCTGAGTCCATAACTAATCTACAAGTGGAACTCCTAAGTGATACCGGCACACATCAAATAATATCCTCGCTAACGACACATTTTATGCATCACTTAAAAAAACACTTCCTGACAACCTGATTCTCCTACACTGAATTACCTCAAAAGGCAAATGAATATTTAAGTGTATAAATAGTTAAGTCAGCCACACCAAACGCTCTCACGACCCAAAGATCCACTGCATTTAAATTTCATGTCAAGGGAGGAAAGTCTAGCGTCATCCATCTGTTGCCAAATTAACATGGTCTGCCAGTGCAAATAAATTAGTCATTAAACCTAGCCCCTTTCATTAACATTACCGAGTGACACTTCATCATCTACAATCCTAAGGAATATTACTACCTCAAAAAACCTCGCATATCATTCTCGAGAGTCAACCGAAGCTAAGTTTACAAATTTGTCCACTTAAATTCAGCTGGAGACGTGGCAGCAAAGAGCAGGAGAAGGGGACTTTTATTACC